GGTTTTAAAACACAACCAACATAACCCAACAAGTCCAACACAACCCAAAACTCTAAGATAAAGAGTAAGGGACAGAAAAGAGAATGAGACAACAACAACAAATCTACGAAACCAAGTCCGGATTACGGTTCAATAACAACAGGGAATATCGGGATCGCTATACGTCGTCTGCATGCAATGTCATGGCCTGCTTGTAGTGGCAGATGTGGTCGGTGGGGTCTGATTTTCCGTCATACAAGGTGAACGACGGTGCTTTGAATTTTTTGGGTAGCGCAACCTTTGCAATCCGTTTTACGACGGGATCGTGTTGGTCTTCGTCCGAACTGTTCCTTTTTTGCTTGTGCATTGTACGGGGACTTTCTTCGGAAGAATTGGTGGTTTCATGTCGTCCCTTCTTCCTGGGCTCTGGGGATAATGAGTCGGAATCGCTATCAGTGTCTTGTCGTGCTCGAGGTTATCGCCCACCTGCCTTCGGAGATCGTTCCGGATTTAGGCGCGTTGCTTGCTTGGACTTCGCCATTTCCAAGGCCAAATCTTCACGAAGTCGTTCGTTTTCAGCGATCATGTTCTCCAACCTCTGTTCATTTTGCTTTGCTTGTTCCATGATCGCCTGCATTGTCTCGTGCTCCGAAGTCGAGGGTGAGGTGAAATTCAAGGCATGTCTTGCGGTGATAGTCTCTGTTCCAAGTAAGTTTGTTGGAGTGGTTTCATCTTGCGGTATAGGGTCAACAGTGATTGTCGGAGGATCATCCGTCACGCTCGCCATGGATGTGCTTGAGTATTCCCACAGACGGCGTCAATTGTGGAAAAGTGGTTTGGAAATACTCTTCTGATCCTGGAGAACGCTCGTGATCCTCTTCTAGTCACCTGAAAAGGAATAAACACTCCGGTCGGGGGTGCTAGAATTAGCACTCCGACGGAAAAGTCAGAATTTACACTCAAGAATGCTTGTATTCTAAGTTAAGCATAATCATTCTCACCTACCTTTCTTAGTCTGTTGTTCCTTTATTTATACTTGTGTTCCTGGGCCTCGTGGCCAGGCTCACTTGTCACTCATTATCCTCTTTTTTACTCGGCTCCATAGCTTAATATCCATTATTCGGCCTATCTATTATATTCGGCACCCTTATCGTGCAGGGTAGAGCCGTGTAAAGTTTGTCTTCTAGAGTACGCTTCTGATTATTCCAATTATCTGGCTCTCACAGACTCTTAGTTAGATATTGATGAACTCCTTATGAGCTTCATCTCTATCCGAACTAAGCGCCTCATCTATCTAAGACTATTGCTCTCTATCAAAACATGTCGGATCAGGTATTACTGCACCATATACCGACAACACCGCAACCACCTCGGCAATCTGGCCCGTCTACGTGGCACCTCAACAATCACCTCGTCCATGTGGCATGACCCTAAAATTATGTCCCCACAGGCACTATATCTACTACTATAAAGTGTGGCAAATTAAAAATGAACATTTATTTCCATCAATTGTATGCCATGTCATTGTGGATTAGATTATCTTTTAAGAATTTCAAATATTATTATTATTATTATATGAAGTTCTCTAGCGAATGAAAACTATAAATCGATCATTCACAAAAATTTAGGAGTCTTAGTATCTGTAACTATATGGTGTCTGTTACTATTGCTATATAGTACATTTTCAGAGACAATGTGTTGAGAAGGGTATTTTCGAAATATTTAAAAAAAAGAAAAAAAGTAGAAAACAAGTGTGGGGTATTTTGAGAATAAAAAAAAAGTAGAAAACAAGTAAAGGTGCTCACACTTTTAAAACAATATATATAATAATAAGTGAGGGACATTTTTAAAATATGAAAAAATAAAAAAATAAGTGAGGGTGCTCATATTTTTAAAATAATAATAATAGATAGATAGATAGATAGATGCAATCAACATGCATATATAGATAGATGCAATCAAAAGCCTATTTTAAGAAGTGGGTTAAAAATTACTTCCCAACTTTTAACTCACTTTCATCTTCAAAAAAATCAAAAAAAATTAAAAAATAATTTTTAATCATCTTTCTAAAGCACCCCAATATGTATAAGTATAATAAGTAATGATAATTTTTCATGCGTTCTACGAAAGAATGAAGGGCATATATATGACGTGCTATGTTATTATAGCCTTATGTGGGTAGATGATTATTTTAATAAGTTATTTTAATTTTCAGTTATTTTAGTAGATTGAAATTTTTATATTTGGGAAGATAGTTAAATTTTTTTATAATTGGAACTTGAATGTAATATTTGTGAGAGAAAAAATGAATTGATTATAGGGTTGATGTAACATTTTATTTTATTAACTATTTTAGTCAATTTTGTCTTTTTATGAATCTTAGTTTAAAAAAAAAAAAAAAAACCAAAAATCCACTTGCCAAATAGGGCCCAGTCCGTAATCAAACTAGATTGTACTGTTGGCCCCATGGGCTCACTATGGAATTCTTATCGATGATTTGAATCATTCAATGTGTAAGCTCATCGAGTATTTCATTTCTACAAAAAAAATCCGTAATTAGACTAGATTGTACTGTTGGGCCCATGGGCTCACCATGGAATTCTTATCGACGATTTGAATCGTTCAATGTGTAAGCTCATCGAGTATTTTATCCCTACAAAAAATTACGTTGATCGAATATCAATAATCACTTGATCAGATCACATTTCTGTTAACATTCAGCAAGATTTAAAAAAAAAAAAATTAACAGTAATATGATCTGATCAAGTAGCAATCAATATTTGATCAATGTAATTTTTTATAAGGATAAATTACTTAATGAATCTTACGCATTAATAATTTAAATTATCAATATAAATTTTATAGTGAGCCCACGAAGAACCAATAATACACCAGTCCAGTTTGCAATCGGACTGCAAACAAGCCTTACGCTTATTATATCATAAGCAAAAATTTGTTTTTGGCAACTGTTATCATAAGCAAGTTTGATTACAAAATACTGATTACAAAATACACCGCCCTTTATAATGTGTTTGATTGGGGGATTTGGAGAGAGATTTGGAAAGAGAAATAGAAAAGGTAGGTAAATTGTGAATAAAATAAGCTTATATTTCATCTAGTTTCACATACCTTCTTCTTTCCTCTTTTCAAATTCCTCTTCAAATCTCCCAACCAAACACAGTATTAAGGTCAATAAATTTTAAGTTCAATTTTACTTTAATAATCTATAGGTTAATTGAACTTTTTACTTCTATAGTTTGACTTATATTTTACTTTAATCTCTATAGTTTTAATTTAAATAATTTGATTTATACACTTTAAATGTAATTTCAATTTTAATTTTTCTACAAATGATTTATTGATCTTTCATTCTCTATGAACCAATTTTAATTTATTATGAGGCGATTAAATTTTTTTTTAGTTCTATATTTATTTTTTAATTTTTTTTAATCATGTAAGAAATATTAATTTGTGTTTTTTTTAAATATGCATCGACTATAAATTTAATGATTCAAAGATAAAAATTAAAATTTGAGAATAATATATGATTGAGGAAAGATGCAATAATATTTTTTCTACATATGAATAAATAAGTAATGCAAATTGTAAAAAAAAAAAAAATTAAATCCATTTATCTCAAGTTTAAAAAAAAATCAAATAATAAATACATTACTTAAAATGATAAATTTTACGTTATTTATGGAGTGTAGAATAAACCTTATATTAAATTATTATAATGTTATCTAACAATAATTTTAGAGAGATTTAGGGGAAAACACTATATCCATTTTATAACTAAAGAAGAAAATGACATAATTTTTTTCTGAGCCATAACTTAAAAAAAAAAAATGTCATAATAAAGCACAACATAGGGCATAACTAAAGATCTCATGAATTATAACTAAAATAATACCATAACTAAAGATAAAAATTGATCATTAAAGAATAAAATAGCATAATTAAGGGGTGCATATGATACACCCCTTTCATAGGGTGTGTACATTAGAATTTTCCTTATTTTTAAGTATTTTATCAATGAAAATTAAGCTTTTTTTTTTTTCATTAAATGATTTAATAATGTCTTAACAATTTAAGAGTTTTATTTAATATTGCATCAAATTTAAGAATTTTATTAAATAATGCAAAAATATGTATGAAACTTTAATAATATATATGCAAAACCTTAAGGAATGTGAGTTAAATTTCTCATTTAAATAGATAAGGTAACTAATGGCCGATTTCGTCATTTTTGGTATTATAACCTATGACATTAGCAAATTCTAAATAACATAACAGTGAGAGAATCTTGATAATAATTTTAAAAGTAAGGGAGATTAGTGTAATTATTAATACCACATGAGAGATCCCTATAATTGTTAGAAATTTTAGGGGAGACAAGTGTAATTTATCCTTGTATATATTTTTTTAGGTAAACTTTACTTTACTCCTCGTGGTTTGGACTATATATGGTTTATCCCCTAATGTTTGGAAATGACCACATGACACTTATGTGATTTGTGGATTGAAATATATCGTTAGACCCATTAACAATTTAATAAAAAAGACTAAAATATCCCTATATATAAGCAACTTAAGTGTGTGAATTATGAATATTTTTATCATTTGATTAAAAGACAAAGTGCACTTTAATTCCTGCACGATTTACGCCTTTAAAATTTAAAAATGAACATATAATCTTCTTATATTTGTTACATATTTTACACTTATTATTAAATTAGACAAAACATTTAATAGTGTGTTTTAATTCAAAAATCACATATAAATTATGTAATTATTTATAAATATCAAGGGATAAATCACATGCGACAAAATAAAGTTACCCCTATTTTTTTACATATTTAAATACATATTTTATACAAAAATTATACTCCTTTCATTAGAGAGAGCAAGGATTTTCCTTTCTGTATACTAATTTATCTTCTGACAAAAACAACAAACAAAAGCAAAAGAATAGCTAAAAAAGGTATAAAAGCCAAAAAACAAAACCTCAACATGATCACCACCATTCTATACCCCGCGGTCCTTTCTGTGAGCATTCAATCGATAAGTCACCCTCACCCGGCCACCCCCCTTCCCACTCTCTCTCTCTCTCTCTCTAAATATCCATTTTCTTCTTCTTCTTCTTCTTCTTCTTCTTCTTTTCTCTGTGTCTATCTCTCTACAGTGGTGGTTGTTATGGAGCCAAATTCACCGGAGCTAGAGCTGGACAACCTGAGAGCAATCAAAATACTCGGAAAAGGCGCCATGGGCACTGTATTTCTGGTCCATGACCAGTCACGTGACCCCTCTGCCCTCTGCCCCTTCGCCCTCAAAGTTGTCGAGAAATGCTCTCTCTACTCCAAGCTCGACGCTGACCGCCGTGCCCGCTGGGAGGTCTCCGTCCTGGCCCGCTTATCCAACCCGACCCACCCCTTCCTCCCCACCCTTCTCGGATCCTTCGAGACCCACCAGTTGTTGGGTTGGGCCGTCCCCTACTGCCCCGGCGGCGACCTCAATGTTCTCCGCTACCGTCAGACCGATCACGTCTTCTCTCCTTCAGTCATTCGGTTCTACCTCGCTGAGATCGTCTGCGCTCTCGAGCACCTCCATAGCATGGGCATCGTGTACCGCGACCTCAAGCCAGAGAACGTTTTGATACAACAGTCTGGTCACGTGACTCTCACGGACTTCGACCTCTCTCGTAGCCTCACTCCCAGGCCTGTCCAGGCCTTGCTCGACGTGGATCCCATTGACGACCCACATGAGGGTGCTCGCCGGAAACATCGCCGGTATCTGACCCGCTTGATTCCGGCACCGCCAATGTCCGAGAAGAAGGGGTTGAAAAAAGCCAAAAGTGCTCGCGTCTCGCCGGTTAGTCGCCGGAAAACGAGCTTCTCCGCCGGCGAGAGATCCAATTCCTTCGTGGGTACGGAGGAGTATGTGTCGCCGGAGGTGGTTCGCGGCGACGGTCATGAATTCGCCGTCGACTGGTGGGCACTGGGGATTCTCACCTACGAGATGCACTACGGAACGACACCGTTTAAGGGAAAGAATCGAAAGGAAACGTTTGGGAACGTGTTGATGAAACCGCCGGAGTTCATCGGGAAGCGATCGGCCTTGACTGACTTGATCGGACGGCTGTTAGAGAAAGACCCAACCAGGCGATTGGGGTACAATCACGGTGCCTGCGAGATCAAACGGCACGAGTTCTTTCGCGGTGTTAAGTGGGACCTATTAACGGAGGTGTTACGGCCGCCATTTCTGCCGTCACGGGAAGACGATGATCTAACGGCAAAGTTAACGCCGAGTGGATTTAACATAAGGGAATATTTTAATAGACAAGCAGTGACATCACTATCACTTCCGTCATCACCGTTATCATCCCCGTCAATAGAAGGGCATCGATATAATATATCCTTAACGGAATTTTAATGCCCGTGTAAGATTTTTATTTATTTATTTAGTTTTGTGTATATAAAATAAGGGCAGAAAATGTTACTCAATACTCTTTTTTACCTATATTTTTTTACTCATAAGATAGATATAATATATATAAGTTAATATTATCTGTATTTATTAATGTGAATTTATAAAATAAGTAAAAAAAATAGGTAAAGAAATATATAATTTTGGTATATTGTAAATTAACTATTTTGCTACCGTGTACCTAACATTTATTTATTATGGAGATTCAAAACTGCTTGAAATGTTGAATTAATTTACATAACTGTTTGTTTTGGACAATTATTTTGATGCATTGGTTTGATGAAGAGGAAAAGGATTGTTTTTCTTGCTTTTTCTTGTAGTTAATTACAAAGGATGTGTGGGCCTAAAACAATGAATTTACCTCCAAAATTGAACAAATCTTTACTTGGAAAGAAAGAAAATGATGATTAAACTTATTCAAATTCAAGTGAACTCCAAGAATTCAAAAGTAAATGTAAAAAGAAAGATGTTACTAGTTTTTGCTTTAACTTTTGGAATTAAAGTGTGTTCTTTGTTCTTTTTGACAAGGTATATATCAATAGGGGATAGAGCATTTAGTAGACTAGAATTATTTTAATTCAACAATTTCTCTTCCAACTACAGTTGAACCACTTCTCTCCTAACTACCAATTTTTTAATTTTTTTTTTTTCAATCTTCAATCTTGATTTTTATGGATTTATTGTTGATATGTGAATTTATTTCTAGAAAAAATTTCAAGTGATTTTTTGAATTTTTTTTGAGCGACAATGCTACGTAGCTCAAATTTTGTGACTCAAAGTGGCTCAAATGGCCAAAACGACGTCGTTTTGGCCATTTTTATGTTGTTCTGTACTCAAAACGACGTCGTTTTGGCCATTTGAGCCACTTTGAGTCACAAAATTTGAGCTACGTAGCATTGTCGCTCAAAAAAAATTCAAAAAATCACTTGAAATTTTTTCTAGAAATAAATTCACTGTTTTTTTTTTTTTTTTTCCTCTTTTATTTCACAATTCATTTTGGTTTGAAAAAAAAATATTATTATTATTTTAAAAAAAATTTGTACTTAACTTGTAATAAAATTTATGGACAAATAAAAAGATTGAACCAAAACCTTGCTAATTGCTAATCCTTCCCATTGTTTTTGTTTTTTGTTTTCTGCTTTTTTGCTCACGAGAGCTTTTGGAACTTTACCCAAAGTAAGTCATAGAATATGTACCATAGCATCTTAGGTTTTAGACCCGACTTAAACCCACGTGTATGGAGGTATCACTACAAGAAAATACACTTTTGGTGACTAAAAAATTAGTCACCAAAAGTATTGATTTTAGTCGCCGAAACACATTGCCGACTAAATAATTTGGTTGCGGGCTTTGTCGGGGATACATAGTTGCCGAAGGAATTAGCGACTAAAATACATTTAGTCGCCATAAGTAGTACAAAATACCGACTAACCTTTTAGTAGGCAAAACTAATAGGTATTAGCGACGAAAAGAGCCTTAGTCGCTGATAAGTGACATTAGCGACTAAAATGTTAGTCGCCCAAGCGGTTCATTAATTCCTCTATCTCGCATATTTAGCTACTAAAAGTTTTTGTCGCCAAAAGTGAAATATCTTCGGCGACGACATTTTTAGTCGCCAATTGTGCAACTTTTAGCTACTACATTTTTAGTCGGCCATAGTTATTTTATTATATTTTGGCGACTAAAACGTTGGTTGCCAATAATATGTTGGATTTTACCTACTAAACAATTTAGTCGGCTATAATTGTTTTATTATGTTTTCGAGTTGTTTGGCTACTAAATATTTAGTCGCCAAAAGTCTTTTGATTTTTAGCTACTACACATTTAGTCGCCATAACTGTTTTTAAGTTGTTTTGGCTACTAAAGTTTTAGTCGCCGAAAGTCATTTGTGTTTTAGCTACTAAGCATTTAGTCGCCATAACTGTTTTTAATTCGTTTTGGCTACTAAATATTTAGTCGCCAAAAGATTTATTTCTTTTTAGCTACCAATTGATTTGTCACCAAAAGCGTCATTTTATATTATTGTTTTGTTTGTTTTATTTTACTAATTTTTGTCCGAACCTGTATGTATCCAGCGCAACCTGTACGTATACAACCTATATATATTTTCACGTATTCCGTAATGCATGTTTCACTTAGAACCATAAAACAAAAATGAACACCTGCTATATATATTCCAACTACAAATAATAATGTAAACTTATGTACGAACCAACCATATATATTTCAATTACAAATAATGTCATACATTCCAAATACGTTACCAAAACAATGTCCTCTATACACAACATTTTTACTATATACTATGCATTGTAATGACCATTTGACAAGGTACAAATTACTATAGTAATATGTACCACGACAAAAGGTAATCTATATTAATTAATACTAGAGCCATTAATACAAGCTCCAAAAATACTATGTATCCCACTATAAATTATATGTACGATGCATCCAAATTCCACGGTTCATTGATGCTATACCACCAGAGCAATTAATACAAGCTCCAAAAATAGTTTGTACCCCGCCAAAAATTATATGTTCGATGCATCCACAGTCCACATAAAAAGTATAGGACAACAAAAAACTTCCCAACTTTGCATAAGTGTGAATTATCTTCCGGGCAAAAAAATAGAAGATCCACATGTCAATGCCAAAAGCCATCTACACAACAAAAATTACACCCATTAGTTCTATTGTAAACAAAAAGTTATAGCCATCTACAAAACACAAATTGCAGGCATGTCAATTGTAATTGCAATTGTATGTAAATATTGTTTGAATTTAGGAATTTCAATATAGTTTCTTTACACATTAAGTTGTATTGAAAGTGCAAAGAAATTTCTAAGTAAACCCCAAGTCAAGTTTAGTCTAATGTGTTAACATATATATATTTTATTCATAATTGTACATATATAGAGATGCTTATAGAACATATATATATATATTTGTAAGCTTTAATATATTTGTATAAGCTTTATGTGTTTTTCACGCCAACTCCCAACGTGCATGTGCTAATTACGTCCCGTCTGTCCCCATAGGTCGTCTTTGACATGAGGAAGCTACCCATGCCATCAATATAGTGCTTCGGGGCTTGCTCTCAATTTTCGGCCCTCGAAGGCCTTTTTTCGGCTAAGTTTATGGCGTTTTCACGCCAAATCCCAACGTACACGTGCTAATTACATCCCGTCTATCCCCACAAGTCCTATTTGACACGAGGAAGCTACTTGTGCCATCCCGGCAGTGGTTCGGGGGTTGTTCTCAATGTTCGGCACTCGAAGGCCTTTTTTCGGCTAAGTTTATGACGTTTTTCACGCCAACTCCCAACGTACAAGTGCTAATTATGTCCTGTCCGTCCCCACAGGTCCTATTCGACACAGGGAAGCTACCCATGCCATCCCCACAGTGGTTTGGGGGCTCCTCTCAATTTTTGGCCCTTGAAAGCCTTTTTTCAGCTAAGTTCATGGCGCATTTCACGCCAACGCCCAATGTACACATGCTAATTACATCCTGTCTGTCCCCACAGGTCCTATTTGACATGACGAAGCTATCTGTGCCATCCTTACAGTGGTTCAGGGGCTGCTCTCAATTTTCGGCCCTCAAAGGCCTTTTTTCGGCTAAGTTCATGGCGCATTTCACGCCAGCACCCAACGTACACGTGCTAATTACATCCCATCTGTCCCCATGGGTCCTATTTCACACAAGGAAGCTACCCGTGCCATCCCCGCAGTGGTTCGGGGGTTGCTTTCAATTTTCGGCCCTCGAAGGCCTTTTTTCGGCTATGTTTATGACGTTTTTATATGAGCCAATCCACCACCTGGTTAGCATGTAGGAGAACACTTTTAATTGATTTTAGCCTGAACACAAGTGCATCTGCAATTGTACAGGTGGATGCAAGTGTAGGCAACAAGGTGAGGATTCATGGATTTTTCTCCTTTACTTTAACGAAATTTGGTAAGGGATTCCTATGGCTATATTGTAACCAGTTTCCTTGATTTCATTCTCTAGTCTGAATATACTTCTTATGAGTCAATAAGCTCTTGGAAAACAACCAAGAACCAAAGAAATTGTATGATAAGGTGATTAGAATGCATGGCACACTTAGAAGGCAGCTTATGATTGGGAAAATGTGGACGTTTTAAGGATCAAAACTTTGTTTGCATCAGCTCCTGTAACTAGGCCAAATCAGGTTGATAATCTATTGTGGCCAGCCTCAACCACAAGTGTTCATCAAACCAGGTTGCATCAGGTTGCATCAGCTCATGTAAGTAGGCCAAATTAGGTTGAAATGTGGAGCTTTGTTCATCAAATTAGTGTTGGTTTTATTTTTATAGATTTATTATTAAGAAACTTAATATCACATATTCATTCTTCACAATTAGAGTTTTGAAATCAAAGCTCCTTTGTACTAGTTATATTGTACTAGTTATATTGTACTAAATCAAAATTCATTCTACTTTCTCTTGGTTTCTTCAATTACTCTTAAATCTGAAATGACATTCAATTGGACTTGGTTACCTTTTGGAAATCAGATTACGGTCCTTTCTGTAATGTATCAAAACACCAAGTTGGCTGCTGCAATGTCTACTCACATTATGCCTCAAAACTTATTCGAAGCACATCACGAAAAAATATTTGCATACCAACTTTAGAAAACAATTCTATGCCAATATGATCCATATTTTTTGTAGAAGTTGAAGTAGCTTGTTAATAAAATTCTGTTTACCGAATAGTAGGATGACCATCTGAACCTTACAAGAGGGTTGTGAGCCGTGACACCACGTCGTTTAGATGATTAAGTTGTACACCTTGTGCCTCTCGTACTTTTTTTTCTTCATCGACTTGTTTGATCAGCTGCTCTCTTTTCTTTCCCTCGTAATTTCCTCCCGATCTCTTTGCCGCTCCTCTTTCTCCTTCAATAGCTCCTCCCGATCTCTTTGCCGCTCCTCTTTCTCTTTCAATAGCTCTTTCCGATCTCTTTGACGCTCCTCTTTTTCCTTCAGCAACTTCTCGTGATCACTTTGACGCTACTCACGAAGAACCTCCAGTTCCACTCTCATTGACTCCATATGCTTATCACGTGCTCGTGCCGCACTAGAAGCTGTGGAAAAGGGTTGTGGGCTACCCCACATCTAC